TTTTTTTTTTTTTTTTTTTTTTTCTCCATGATTACGTTTCATGTATTTTTGTTGTCCAGAGTCATGAATCTTTCATTGAGAGGCAAACGAATGGCCGTTCACGTATTCCCACCGGTGGCAGTCGACCGATAGAAGACGCATGCATATATGTATGTATATACATATATAGGGAACGTGGGCGGACCAATTCGGTAACGCTTCGTGTATATGTGTGCACATATGTATATGCATGCGCCTCCTGTCGGTCGATTGCCACTGATGTTGACGTGCGGACAACCATCCGTTTAGTTCCGAAGGAAATACCATATATATATAAATATATATATAAATATTCAGCCTCCTGATGAGTCGGTGAAACTCCGACGAAACAGTTTGTCACAGCCCCTCGTTTGTTGTCCTCTTCTCCCTCTCTACCTACGGTTTACCGGCAGTTCTATTTGACGATATATATATATATATATATATATATATATATATATATATAGAACTGCCGGTAAACCGTAGGTATATATCGTCAAATAGAACTGCCGGTAAACCGTAGGTAGAGAGGGAGAAGAGGACAACAAACGAGGGGCTGTGACAAACTGTTTCGTCGGAGTTTCACCGACTCATCAGGAGGCTATATATATATATATATATATATATATAGTTATCAGAGCGGAAACGCGAAAACACCGAATGAAATAAAAAAACCAATCACCTCGACGAAGGGTCCGTGTACCGATGGCCTTCGCCGCCGTCACCTCCGTTCGCCCCCCTCCGAGCGAGAACACCCACTAGCAACTATAGAACAGTGTTGCCACCCTGCATTGCTTCGGCCACGTCCCCTATCCGAGCAGCGATTGCACTACCCGCGTCTGCGGTAGCTTTGGCAAGGGTGGTGGCCGCTTTGTCCAGGCCATCACAGTAAGATCGAGTTGAATCCTCCATGGCCCTCCCCAAACTCGAGACGCTGCTGCCGGCATCATCCTTTCTCGCCTTCCCGCTGGCTGTCCGCCTCAATTTAGCAAAATTGTCTGAGTCCTCCACGCATCTTGCGTCCGATCCTCCCGCCGGCGTTGCATCTGTTCCACCGCCCGCAAGGTTCTCCGAGGCCAGTGTATTGTCACACCTCATCGACGACCGGTTTAGCTTCCACTGCATAGCGTCCCACAAAGCCTTCTCAAATGAAAGCGGGAGACTCTTCTCCTTCGTTCCTCCACAAACAGATCCCAATACGACGGCTGTCTAGATGCTTCACACTTTTCGACGATGAGCTTTGTCGTCGCTAACATGTTCGACCACTTCTTGCGGCAGTCTTCACCGCTCCTGTGCTTGAAGCCAGCGTCCACCATCCTGTCATTCACCCATACATACCGGTCTTTCCTCTGCTTGAATCGGTGCTGGTTGTTAGCATCTGACATAAGGGCGTCATCCTCACCCATCAAAATTGCAAGCTTCACCCGCTCGTCCAACGTCCATTTGATGCTTGGCTTCTTTTGAGATGGCGGGCGGCCATTCGCAGGGAATCCGCCGACCGTAGTTGCACCTCCCGCACCCTGGCCGCTAACATCACCCTGCCCGCCCGTCGAACTTGTGACCATGGGAACGACACTTCCTTGCTCTGCCTCACCATCTTCGTCGCCTGCTTCGGAGCCGCCTGTGCCTTCATCGAACGGTGATTCCATGCGCGTCTCGGGGGACACATGCCTTGTGTTTGGCCGATTCCAAGAGGCATCCGTGTCAACGCCCTCCGCTGGACATCCAGAACACCGCGAGCCGAACAACCTCCCTGCGCCTTGGCTGCATTGGGGAGACCAATGCCTGCCACCCATGGGCATGCTCTGGGTGGGCGCTGATGGCATGCCGAAGCCCGCAGCCATGCTCGTGCCTTCTACGCATGCCCTCGCTGCATACAAATCGAACTGCTGGTTGACGGACAGAGGATGATCACGAACGTCGAAACCGCCGTCCGCCCGCATGTCCCACGACTGTGGACCACCGCGAGCAACGCCCACATGCATGCTCTCCGAGTCTGCCCAACACACCCTCCACCGAAAGGCGTCCGCGGAGAAGCGGCACGTGTGGGGTAGTACGGATGTTGCATGGCCGACGGGGTCTGACGCATGGCGGCAAATGATTGCATGCTTTGCGCTTGTTGACCTTGATGGGGCCTAGCATGCAACTGACCGTCGTGCATGTCATCACCGCCGTCGAAACCGACGTCGACATCACCCGTCCAACGTTTACAATCCATCGCCCACCTTCCACCTTCGACAAAGGGCAAATGGAAACGAAAGGCGGCACCTTTCAGCACACCCCTATCGTGATCGACTACCGGCGCCTGGACACAAGCACAAAGGCAACAAACAAAACGATTGTGGACAACACCAGCACCCCTACTACGAAGAGGAGGACTAGAACGACTGCTGCGCCCAGAAGGGTCACAACGAACTGTGATGAACCGCCTGCACGACCTACACCGCACCCATTGTCCACAATGACAAGGACAGGATAATCCTGACGGAACACCGCCGACACCCCCCAACAGCCGAATGTGCAGATGGAGCCGTGCCTTGCTCGATCACCACGTGTCCCAGTGCGACGTGCCGACGCTCGCCGGGAGGACTGCGAACCTCCACTACCGGATTCCACAAAGGAGGACCTCCACTGCTGACTGGAGATCGCGTGGAGTGGACGACGAAGGACATCGACGCGGGTGTGCATGGGACCACCCTCGGAGCAAACGACGAGATAGTCGAAGAAACCGCCACGTCAGCACACCCACTTCGACGAAAACAAGCTCGCGCAGCTGCACGTCCACAACTGAACACAGGAGTCTGTAGCACCGTTCGAACTGCGGTGGAGGCATCCGAATGCGTCCAACGATGCATCCACAGACCACGAACGTGCGATGTGACAGCACGTCTGACTGAAGCCCCACGGCCGAAACGAGCAATGTTCTGGAGAAATCGCATGACAGATTGACCTTTGACCGCACGTCGCTTCGAAGAAGACAACCACGGACAACGAAGGGCGGGAACGCTCAATCGTGGACACGTGAACGACTGGGGAGAGCGATGGACTGCATGCCTCCTCTCTGCCTGAAACACTTGTTGCGGATTTTGAAAAAAAACGTTAATGCAGCGCCGCAATTTGAATTGCGTATTCCCGCGTTTCGTAATGCAGCGGGACCGCAGCGGGGGACCACCTCCGAGGACCACCAACGGCCACTTTTCATTTCTCGTGCGACAACCACTTCGTTCGTGTAGTCTCAGCCTGGACCAAACATATGTCCGTGACGCCCGTTCACTGCACCACTCGTCGACAGCCTCCGATGCCAACGACAGGCGCTTTGCCCGCCCTACCCTATTGGAGGGCGTTTTGGAAAACAGCGCCGGCCGCGGGCGAAGACTTTTCCATCCGCCAGCCATGTAGAAACACGACTGGCGGTATTCTGGCAACGGCGGTGGGGTCTGAAATCGACGTCGCCAGACGTCTGCAAAACTTCCTGGCSGCCCGGTGGGGTCCGAAATGGCCCTTCCATGCCTTTCCAGTTCAAACCGTCGGGCGGTGGGGTCCACCCCTCATCACCACTCGACATCATTGATGAAAAAAAAAAATCAAGGGGCGGCCTCTGCCAGACGCTTGGACTACGCGCTACTGAGGGGTACCCCCTGGAATAACTGTCGTGACGCTAAAGTCGGTATCTCGCCACTGTCTGATCACTCCCCAGTCATCTTCAAGACTCAGCTGGGGGGCGACCCGGACAGGGGCCCTGACCTATTTAGATTAAATGTCAGCCACTTGGAAGACCCACCCTTGCTGGATTGGCTGAACAGATTGTCAAGAATTTGGAAAAAACAGCGAACCTGTGTGAGACCCCCCAACTCTGGTATGACGAGGTTATGAAAGCTCTGCAGGAAGCGTGCAACACTTATTCGAGACGCAAGAATGAGAAATTGAACAAGCAAATCCAACAATGGCAATTTATTGTGGCACAGGCGGAAAGCCGCCTAGGTGCTCACCCCATCTCAGATTGTTACTGGCTGCAGAAGTGAAGCAAAGCCCTTCAAAATTTGGAAGCCCAGGAAATTAGGGCCGAAGAACAGCGCAAGGAATGGCTGCGGATCAAGGGCATGACACACTACGATAGAATGACGAAAGAGTCCTTCCAAGCGCTAATGAAATCAGTGGCGAAACCCCTTATGAAGGAACAAGAACACCTTTTCTCACTAACGGCTCCAATTGCGGAAACGTCAATTCAAATGTGTCAATATGCCAAAGACTACTTCAGCGATGTCCTTACCACCCAGATACTAACCTAAGAGACTACTCGAAT